AAATAGAGAATATAAAAACAACTGAAAGAGTTAACAAGATCAAAAGCTAGTTGTTTGAAAAGACCAACAAAATCAATAAGCCTTAAGCCAAACTGACCAAAGAAAAATAGGAGAGGAAACAAATAACCCGTATAAGAAATGAGATGGGCGATATCACAACAGACCCAACTGAAATTAAAAGAATCATAACAGAATACTATGAAAAACTGTACTCCAACAAATTTGAAAACCTAGAAGGTCAAATTTCTAGAAACACACTACCTACCTAAACTAACACAAACAGAGGTAGTAGAACAACTAAATAAACCTATAACAAAAGAAGACATTGAAAAGGTAATTAAAAAACCCACCCCCTCCCCCAAAAAAAAGCTCTGGCCCTGACGGCTTCACGGGAGAATTCTACCGAACTTTCAGAGAAGAGTTAACACGACTACTACTGAAGGTATTTCAGACCACAGAAAAGGACAGAATACTCCCAAACTCATTCTATGAAGCCAGCATAACCCTGATACCAAAACCAAGTAAAGACACCACAAAAAAAGAAAATTACAGACCAATATCCCTTATGAACATGGACACAAAAATCCTCAACAAACTTCTAGCCAATAGAATTCAACAATATATCAAAAAAAAAAAATTCACCATGACCAAGTGGAATTCATACCAGGTATTCAGGGATGGTTCAACATTAGAAAAACAACCAACGTAAATAAAACAAAAGACAAGGAACACATGATCTTATCAATTGATGCAGAAAAGGCATTTGACAAAGTCCAACACTCATTCCTGATAAAAACTCTCAGCAAAATAGGAACAGAAGGGAAATTCCTTAACCTAATAAAGGGCATTTATGCAAAGCCGACAGTCAACATCCAACATCATCCTAAATGGAGAGAGTCTGAAAGCATTCCCCTTAAGAACGGGAACCAGAAAAGGAAACCTTTAATCACCACTCTTATTCAACATTGTGTTGGAGGTCCTCGCCAGAGCAATTAGGCTAGAAAAAGAAATAAAGGGCATCCAAATTGGTAAAGAAGAAGTCAAAGTAACTCTGTTTCCAGATGATATGATCTTATACACAGAAAACCCCAAAGAATCCACAAGAAAACTACTGGAACTAACAGAAGATTTCAGCAAAGTATCAGGATACAAGATAAACATACAAAAATTAGTTGGATTCCTCTACACCAACAAAGAGAACTTTGAAGAGGAAATCACCAAATCAATACCATTTACAATAGCCCCTAAGAAGATAAAATACCTAGGAATAAGTCTAACCAAAGACATAAAAGACCTATACAAAGAAAACTACAAGACACTACTGCAAGAAACCAAAGGAGACCTGCATAAGTGGAAAAACATACCTTGCTCATGGACAGGAAGACTCAACATTGTGAAAATGTCTATTCTACCCAAAGCAATCTACACATACAATGTAATCCTGAGCCAAATTCCAACATTTTTAGTGAAATGGAGAAACAAATCACCAACTTCATATGGAAAGGGAAGAGGCCCCAGATAAGTAAAGTATTACTGAAGAAGAAGAACAAAGTGGGAGGTCTCACACTACCTGATTTTAAAACCTATTATACTGTCACAGTAGTCAAAACAGCCTGGTACTGGTATAACAACAGATACACAGACCAATGTAACAGAAATGAGAATCCAGACGTAAACTCATCCATCTATGAGCAGCTGATATTTGACAAAGGCCCAAAGTCCGTCAAATGGGGAAAACACAGTCCCTTTAACAAATGATGCTGGCATAACTGGATATCCGTAGGCAAAATATTACAACAAGACCCATACTTCGCACCACGCACAAAAACTAACTCAAAACGGATCAAAGACCTAAATATAAATTCAAAAACGATAAAGATCATGGAAGAAAAAATAGGGA